GCAGAAGTGATGCATGTGGGCAGGGAACACGCTTTGGACTTCTGTATGGATTTCTATTTACTGTGTGGCAGGTACTTCCAACCAGGGACGAGTGTGTGGGATTCTATTTTAGAATTCTGCAAGTGTCATTCCGAGAACCTAACCTGGTGGAGTTAGCTCTAAAAAGACTCCCCGAACAATTAAAAGCAATAGACCGAAGGAGCCATATGGGATGAATAAATTATTAAACTACTAGGAAGTTGCTATAAATATGCATGCAATTCAATAATTCATAATGGATGGGTACAACAAGGCCCTGCTGGCTGTAGTGGCAGCTATCGTCTTGGGACATGTGCCAATGGCTTCTTGACAGACAAGTGTGGGTGCAGAAGCCTTGAGGAGAGGCCCTCCGCACTCACAACATGCCAGTGGGAAGTGTTGCAGACACGAGAGCCGTTCGCTGGGCTGAGGGACAGAGCATGTCCCTTAAACACCCAGGGCCCGAAAGGGCATGTTTAGCTCACAGCTCTCTCCCTCAGGTTTCCATTGCAGCTCCAATCTCTTCTCCCAGGGATCACTCGGGCTTCCAAAACTGTTTTTCGGTTTCAGAAAAAAAGGGATTTGTTATTATGGTACAGTGCTGTGGAGGTGCGGGTGTGCTGTGTGCAGGGGAGGCCAGAGGACAACCTTTGGGAGTTGGTTCTCCTTCTGTCTTATTGAGGCAAGCTATCTGTTTTGGCTGGTCAGGGGTATTCCTGGCTGACTGCTTCATGAACTTCTGGGTGATTCTGTCTCTACCTCCCATCTTGCTAAAGGTTACAGATGCCACACTGCATCCAGATTTTTTGTTTGTTTGCTTGTTTTGTGTGTGTGGGGTGTTTCTGGAGATTGAACTTAGTCCATTAGGTTTGCATAGGGAGTGCGTTTTACTCACTGGCCACCAGCATCTCAGATATTATAAAGGGCACGCGTTCTGTAAGTGTGAAGGACCCCCTTGCGGGGGAAGGACCTTCACAGCCCACCATCTAAAAACCGCACTCATTCATCTACAGGAAAACACAGCATTCCCCTGAGGAGGAGAGATAAGCAGCCCCCTCCCCCCGGGGGGGGCACAGGTCACTGTCAATCAGCATTTTTGCTTGGAAATGTGAAACAGCACAGATTTCCAAGCGGCCCCCCCCCCCCGCCCCACTCCGCTCACCTGCCTGCCCCAGTGGCACTGGAACTTTCTGCTCTATGCATCCTATGTGTTTCTACGCCACACTCTGCCCACTGGGACAGAGGAATGGACCTGGCAGAGACAAGGTGGTAAAACCCTCGTCAGGTCTTTCCCTCACACTGCCTAGAAAACTTCTGTGTGGCCCCACACACGATCTGCAAAGAGCAGGGTCTCACTGACAACCACTCACCAGGTAGAGGGGATGGTACAGCCTTCTGAACTGCCAGCCACAGCTTCTTATTCTCTGCCCTAACCTCACTGAGTACGAACACTCTGGCTTGTGGCTTGACAGTGTTTCACTGATGTCTGTGCCTCTCTGCCCACGGTCCCTCAGCCTCGTAGGCATGCAGGCCAGGACCACACAGTGCTGACTCATCCCATACAGATGAAGAGGAGGCTGGGACCCGAAGGGAACCTAGCCTGGGCTCACAGGACTCTGTGTAGCTGTTGCATGTACAACCTCAGGACTGTGGCCCACGACACCTAATTCTTGGTCTCTCTGATCTTATGGTTTGATTGATGGGATCCCTGCTCTCTCGCAGACACATAGACACAGACTCACACACACACCAAACAAAGAAATACATAAGTTTAAAAAAAAGTAGCTGCCTATTGCTACATAAACGGTGACGGAAAGACTTAGGATCCAAACTCACAGGTTTGTCGGCCTGGGTTCCCAGTACAGCTCATGCTGGGCCGTGTGAGACACCCCCAGGCTCACCCCCTGTTCCCCAGTTGGCCGTGCTGTTTTTAGGAGTTTTGGGAACTTGTGAGAGGTAGAGGTTAGCTGGAGAAAGGTCACTGGGGGCATGCTCTGGGGGCTGGCCCTCATTCCTGGCTTCCCTCTCTGCTTCTTGTCTACCACGACTAAGTGGCCTCTGCCACATGCCCTTGCCACCATGATGCTGGGCCTTGACTCAGCGGCGCCAAGGACTATGGGTAGGGACTGTGAGCCAAAATACACAACTCCTCCTGTTTTTCCTCTGGCAATTGTCACAGCAATGGAAAAAGTGACTAAGTCACCTACACTATAGGACTGCCACAAGGGTGGATCTGCAACAGAATGTCTGTGACCACTGTAACAGGTTCCCAGAACCTGTAACCATATACACCATAGGACAGAAAGGTAGTGTGTCCCTAACAGGGGGACGAGTTTTCCAACAGAGTACAAGCTTAGCTCCTGCACTAATTTGAAGTTTGTGTTACAGGGGAAGGGCTACAGACAACACGAGCAAGATGGCAGGAGAATATTAAAAACTCATAAGAAAACAAGACTTTGGAAGGAAATTAGAAACATCCCACAATAAGAATCTCTACACAAATAATTGGGATGTTTATTATGAATATGTCTACTTGTGCATAAATCGTTTCCATAAGACAGGCTTGGACTGTAATCTGAAAGGGAGTCCCGCATTGCTCTCCCAATTGGTCAGTAGATACAGAGCAGACTGCCATTCAGTAGCAATGAGAGCTGCTGAGGTATTACACCTTGCAAATGTGTGTTTGCCGTTGAAACACACACACACACACACACACACACACACACACACACACACACACACACACACGGTCCTACAAAGACTGAGGTGAGTTGTTTGTTACAGAAGACACACGGAGGCCCAGTTCTAGCAATACACAAGAGTACCATGTCACTCTTGCCTGGTGTACAAGACCCAGATGTAGATGTAGCAGTCTCCCAGACAGGGCATGGTGATCGGGAAGGACACCATGTAGATACCACCATTGGAGGTTTCAAATCCTCGCACACCTCCAGAGTGTGATCAGAAGTGACCCATGACACTCCCAGTAAACAGCACTGTGGGGTGAACAAGGTTTTGTGGCTTTCTCTGAGGCAAGGGCCTCCCCTTTACCAGACCCCATGCATGGTGCACTGTGAATTTCCAAGATGCACCAGAGGAGGGTGTTTGCTGGATGCCCAGGACCCCCTGACCACGAGCCTAAGAAGCTGGCCTCAGATGATGCGGTACAAAGAGTGTTCTCAGTCCTCTGCCTGGCTTAGCTGGAGGCTGGGGAAGATGGTGCCTCTCACCGGAGCCTGTGGCCTGGCATGGGGAAAAGGCTCTGGCTGTGGTAAGGGCAAGCCAGGATAGAAACCTAGGCTGGGCTGCATGCGAGCTGCTGTACCTTGACGCTTTCAATGACAGTGGTCCCAGTCCCAGCCTGTCTCAGTGAAACAGCATGATAGCTGTGGGTAGATGAGCTGGTTACAGCCAAAATGTCATCAATTCATAGCTATTGCTGAGAACGACCAGTGACCACCACCCATAACATGCTGCATCTTTCTACATGAGAGATTCATATTGTTTCATTTCGACCCAGAACCTCAGGCTCCAGGGGATGGATGCATTTCCACGGTCCTGTAGGGCTGAGGCTAACAACACCTAACTCTTCCTCTGCTAGCCATGCTGCATGCAATGTGTTCCAGGCAGCACACATGCATGGTGTACTCAGAGACACAGTCCTGGACCAGGGAGGAAGCGGCTGCTCCTCACTCAGACATGACAAGGGCAGGGACAGGGGCAAGTCTGGTGGATGAATGGTAAGTGGAAAAAACACAGGGTCTGAGGGCTGAGCGACAGGGACACTTGATGCGCGGGAACTCCTCGGTCTATTCAGTTTTTTTCTGCTTGAAAATGGAGGAGACCCGTGACCTCACAACGTGCTTCCCTACAGTGGGCCCTACTCCATTCGGAGGTACAGAAGCAGGTAAGTGATGAGTTCCCAGCTGACATTTGTTGACCCTGAGACCCACTACTGACAATGTCCAGACCACCTGGAAAAATACCTTCTTTTTATTTTGGTGGTGCTAGACAAACATCCTATATACCATTGAGCTACAAACCTGGAGAGCCACAAAAATTCTTTAAAAATTACTTTATTTTATGTGTATGGTATTTTATGCCTGCTTGTATGTCTGTGCACTACTACATATATGCCTGGTGACCTCAGAGACTAGAAGGTGGCATTCAGTCCATTGGAACTGGAGTTCAGAGATGGTTCTGAGTGGTGCTAGGACCCAAACTTGGACCTTTGGGAGCAGTACAATTCCCAGCAGACCTGGGAATTGAATCTGGATCCTCTGGAAGAGCAGCAAGGGCTTGTAGCCACTGAGCCATTTCCCTAGCCTCCTGTGTCCCCAACAAATACTTGCTGAAAAGAGCTGTTGGGTCAAAACTAGGTAAACAGCACCTATCTCAAGCAATACAACAACGCGTAAACACAAGCGTCACAGAGCGTTTGGGTAACTCAAGTCTGGAGGACCAGTTCTGTGATGCCATGGGGGGAAGAGGCAGGCTGTAGCAGGCAGGGGGGATGTGAGCCTCGCTCATCACCTGTGCCCCTAACCACAAGAACCCAGCACAGAATTCAACAGGAGCTATTTATCACCTTCTGTACTTGTCAACTTGTCACATGTAATAGTTCATCTAAATTGGGCCTGACAGCATGTCTCTTGATACATCATGCCCGGATTTAGCAGAGATAAACAACGTTGTTAATTTCTCCAATAGGGGAAACATATTGGGCCAGGATTGCTTGGAGTCCATCTCACAGCAACTCTGCCTTGGCTTAGTGAGCACTGTGGCCAGTGTTTGCAAGCGTGATACCCAATGGCTTCTGTAATTACTGCATACCAAATTTTAGGGACGAAAAGTGTATGACAGTGAGATACAGAAATTACGTGCCACCCTGAAGAAATTAGTGAGAAAATGAGGCTGAATACACCCAACAATGTTAAAAAAAAACAAGAAGGAAAGAAAGAAACTCAGAAACACAGTCAATGTGCAAGGTAAATTGAAGTCTAGATGTCTTCGGGTACCAAGAAAGACTCTTTTATTAGTATTATTATTATTTTTTTTTTGGTTTTTCGAGACAGGGTTTCTCTGTATTGTTTTGGGGGCTGTCCTGGAACTCGCTCTGTAGACCAGGCTGGCCTCGAACTCACAGAGATCCGCCTGCCTCTGCCTCCCGAGTGCTGGGATTAAAGGCATGCGCCACCAACGCCCGGCCAAGAAAGACTCTTTTAAATCTAGCTCCTTTCTATCATGGCAACTCCAAACATTTACGTCGGCAGGGGGTAGCTGTCAGAGGCCACACTGCACCCAGGCTGGATGCTGCCTATTGAAGATGCTTTAACTTAACAGTAATGGCCTTCTCCCCACAGTACCCAGTAGGTGACACTCGTGCCAGCTCCTCTCTGAGACTGAATTCCCACCACCCTCTAAGGTCATCAGGGGAAAGGAGCCCACAGAGCTGGTATTAATCAACAAAGCCGCAGCATTAGGTGGCCAGAGTTCGATGTCCCAAGAAATCCTTTCCTCATGTTATGCTTCCAGCCACAAAGTCCTGACACTGCAAGGACAGCCACTCCTTAAAGCTGTATTCCATGCCAGTGGTGAGGAGACACAGACGGACATGACCTGCACAGTTGTGTCACCGTTTCCTTCAGCCACCATGGTCACCTCGAGGGAAGGGCAAGCCTTTAGTCTATCTGAGGCAGTATGTGTGGAGACTTCTACACTCCCTCCCTGCAGAGAGAGGAAACACTGTATCAATAACTCCTCAGATAGAAAATTAAACAATGATAAAGTCCAGGGGCATGCGCACTGTGCATACACGCACACCCACACGCTCACACACCCTATATTTGATATTTATAGTTTGCGGGCAGCCCACTCTTCTAACAGGGCTTGCATTTTTCCACGATGCCTTATATAGAAGCCACTCAACTTGTACAACGGTAGCCCTTTACTCTCTGGGCCATCCTACCATGACTTGCTGTTGTTAAGTGTGTGCCCTGTATGTCCTTGGGACACTAGGGAAAGGCAGAGCCTGCAATGGGAAGGAGGCACTTGCAGGTTTACCCATTAAGAAGACCCAGATAAACCACTAAGATGAGAGTTCCTGGGCTGGAGAGATGGCTCAGTGGTTAAGAGCATGTACTGCAAAAAAAAAAAAAAAAGAGCATGTACTGCTCCCAAAGGTCCAAGTTTGGGTCCTAGCACCACCTCTAACTCTGCTCCAGAGGACTTGGTGCCTCTGGCCTCCACGGTTACCTGCACTCATACATACCTGCCGACACACATGCACACAGCTGAGAAAATAAGCACAGGAACAAAGAAACAAAACACCCACAAGAGGTCCTGAACAGTAACAGGAGACTGCAACCCATAGGCACTAATTAGCACAGGCCCTTCCAGGGAGAGATGCCATCACAGGCTCCAGGCCAGACACTCAGGTAAACAAATCAACGTGTGCATTCAGGCTCCTAAATCATTCTAACTCTCCGAACTACAGTGGCTGTGCATTTTATCACATGCCTTTATCTTACCCTCATTAGAATGTTGAATGGCAATGCCTTCTATGTTGGGTACTGAAAAGGGGACTCGTCCACCCAGCTCTGCAACTCAGGGACTGTTTGTTAAGCTGTGTTTTCCAGGCATCTGTTTGGAAGATGGCTGCAGCAAATGCCCAGCTACAAATGGTACATTGTCTGGGTATGAAGTAAAGGTATAGCACGAAAGTAACTTGTGCAGTGGGAATAACACACTGACGGGCACAGCACGCACTTCCTGTACTAATGTTGCACAATATTTTCTGTGAAGCCTTTACAATAAGCACGAGGCTGGGGAGGTGGCGCAGATGTTACTAGCACTGAATGCTTTGCCGAGGACTTGGGTTCTCAGAACTCACACGGAGGCTCAGGACCATCTGTAGCTCCAGTTTGAGGAGAGCCAACGCATATATGTATGTATGTATGTATGTATGTATATATGTATATATGTATATATATATGCAGACAAAATACTCACACACAATAAATAAATAAATTCCACTTTTTAAAATTAAAAAAACCTTATAGCACCTCTAATCCTGGAGTGCAGTCGTTTTGAAACATCTGGAAACTAGCCTCCCAATAGAGATGCTCTGCAAGGACCAACCAGCAAGCTCTCTGTAGACCAACTTCTGCTTTGCAGTCTCCTCAGGCCTCCAGCCAGGCTCCAGGACCCTCATGAATATGGAAAGTCACTAAAGCATGCCAAACTTAGCCTGCTTTTCAAAACTACAGATCTTCCTTTCCTTCTCACCACAAATGTCTCAGCAGAGAAAGAGATGTACAAATTCTGGGCTCTAGACAAGGGCACAGGCACCAAAGCCTAGTGACCTACCTGTGGCCACCTGGCAGCCATAGGCCAGGACCCCAGAGACAACTGGGGGTGGGGGTTGCAGGGACACAGAGTCCCAGGCAGCTCAGGGCTCCTTTGCCTAGGATGAACTCTGACTCTTGGAGGTGACATGCCCCGAAGTTGTTTAATTTAGCATCACACACGTAGTCGGTGAATGAAAAGGATGTTGGACAGACTAACAGGAAAAGAGTCAAGCTCAAGCCTGTGATGGGGGGGGCATCGAAGGAGGGAAGGCTGCAGGGGAGGAGGCTGCAGGGGGCAACTGTGGGGGCTGAAGGGGAGGAGGCTGCAGGGGAAAAGGGTGAAGGGAGGGTGAAGGGGAGGAGGCTTTAGGGGAGGAGGCTTTAGGGAGGAGGCTGCAGGAGGGGAGTCTGAAGGGGGCGACTGTGGGGGTTGAAGGAGAGGAGGCTGCAGGAGGGGAGGCTGAAGGGGCAGAGGCTCACTGCTTCCCTGGCTTGGGCTGTCCAGTTCTCTCAGAAAGGATCTGCGCCACAGGCAAAGACACCCGTGGATTCCACAGCCGCCTGCTACCCTGCCCTACCCTGCACCTACTTCCTGCCTCTCTGATACTTCCGTTTCGTGGGCACGGCCTTGCCAGGGCCAGAGTGTTTGGCCTTCTTTTCCATCTCCAGTGGAACAGCTTGTGGCCCATAGAAAACAAACCCCACTCTTAAGCCGTCTTTGCTTGTGGCTACCCTGGCACCGCCCTTCTCGTTTAAAGCAAGTTTTGTTTTCTCCTCTTAGGGACACAACAGGCTTTCACAGCAATGAGTCATCAGTTTTACCCTGACTCAAGCTTCCCCCTATTTGTTTTTCTCCTTCCTGATTTCTTTCCTTTGCATCAGTCTTGGGGATTTCTAGTCTTGGAAACCCGGGTGCCCACCTGTGTACCAGTGTGTCCAGTTTGGAAGTACAGGGTCCCAGGTCCTGGGCCGGCTGGTTCAGGTGTGAACTGTCATTCCACACTAGCAGCCCAGAAGGAAGCTGTCCCCACAGACGCCTGTGCCTGCTGCACAGACACGTGCACACCAACTGTTGCAGTGTCACGTGACCCTCAGTGCCTGGGCTGACAGCAATGTCCCCTTCTGAGATGGCCTGGGCTGGGAACCAGCGTCCAGTAATGCAACTCCCTATTCTGCAAAGATGCTTTGGAATTGCAAAGTTACAGGCAGACAGGTCTTGGGGAAAGAGCACTAGTCACCAGAACAGAGGTGGCGTGCTGGAGAGGGGCAGACACCTCTGCAATCAGGCATTTGGGTCAAATCCTAGCCTGGCCGGTCCTTTCAGTGTGATCCAGAACACGACTTTAGCCTTCTGGCTGAACTCCTCAACCATAAAATGGAGCCACATCAAATTCCCTGTAGGACATGAGCTAGCCGAGGCTGGGGGTGAGAGGGTAGCTTACATTTGCCATTATTTGGTCACGAGGCTTCCTGAACAAGGCCAGATTGCTTGTTTAGCATCCACAACAACCTTCTAAACCTCTTATCCCCCAGGGCCCAGGGAGGATGCCATGTAATTACAAATTCAGTAGGCTGAATGACATACTTTGTAAAGCAGATTAGAGTCCCATGGAAAACATTTTGAATGCTACTCTGTGGACAGTTGTGTCTCTAACTCCTCCTCCTTCCCTCAGGGGAGCCTGCCAATCCTGAAGTTCATCAGGGAGTTGTAAGGACTCTCTCACAAAGGAGGTTCTTCTCTTAGAGTGCTTACTATACAGGCTGGGGAGTGTGTACACCTCGGAGGAAGACTCCCCTCTCAGTGCCCTGGGAGTGAAGGGAAATGCACCTCAGGTCCAGCAGATCCATGGATATAGATTGGCCCGTGGTCTGCCATCACATTAGCATGGTAGGTTCTGCCCACTTCCTGACACCCAGAGGAGGAAGACCATGGCTGGTAAGGTCCTGGCCCAGGGAGCAGGAGACCAGGACTGTGAGTGCTGTTCAGCCTCAGTCCCAACATGCTAGCCTACCACTGTGTGTCTGTATGTGTGTCTGTGTATGTGTGTGTGTGTCTGTGTGTACCCCACATGCTAGTCTACCACTATGTGTGTGTCTGTGTGCCCCAACATGTTAGTATACCATCGTGTATGTCTGTGTCTCAACATGCTAATACACCACTGTGTGTGTGTGTGTGCCCCAATGTGCTAGTCTACCACCATATGTGTATCTATGTTCCAACATGCTAGTCTACCACTGTGTGTGTGTGTGTGTCTGTGTGCCTGTGTGCCCCAACATGCTAGTCAACCACTATGTGTGTGTCCCACATGCTAGTCTACCACTGTGTGTCTGTGCCCCAACATGCTATGTACCTCTGTGTGTGTGTCCCCCAACGTGCACTAGTCTACCCCTCTCTCTCTCTCTCTCTCTCTGTGTAAGAGAGAGAAAGAGAGAGAGATACTCACTGAAGAAAATTAAGAGAGGGAGAGAGAGCAAAGACCTAAGCCCTCTTTTTTTCTCTCCAGATCAGAGAAAAACAACCACCATTTCCAGAGAAACAGGAATAAAAACCAGGCCAGTGACCCTATAGCAGCAGCCCCTTGAGTATCGGTTCCCACAGTGAGACAGTGGTGTCATGAGGACCAGGTGTCACCTGTGGGATCCTCCCTTACATGAGGCTGGCTGATGTTGCACAGGGCTCTGGTGACATCCCTCTCTTCTCTGGGGATAGGAGACAGCTCTCCTTGACTGTAGACACCAGCAGCCGACTCAGGGATGAGGGGGTAAGTCTTCCCTTCTTAGTCTGGATGGATATGGGAGGGGACAATGCTTAAGCCTCCGAGGCCTGGAGGCCTGGAATGCCTCCAGACACAGCAATGCCATCTTGGAGGTGTGTCTTGGCTCTAAGGATCCAGACTGCAGAGCTGCAAGGAATCCAGAACTGACTTTCATGTCAGGACAGCAGGTGGCTGACGTGCAGGATATGGCAGAAGCAGCTCTAGGAGCTTGTGGGTAGAGAAGCGGCCATGATAAGGTCAGTGCTGACAGAGGGAGGCCCTGGGGTATGTGAACCCCAAGTCCAAGTGTTTCTCAGTCTGCAGGGCCACAGTGTTCAGCGGGACCACAACAGTCAGGTGTGAGGTGCATGAGGGAGAGGGCTCTGGCCTTGTTTTCAGTCAAGAGGTGACTTCCTCCTGACATTGAGGAGAAAGTGCCGATTCCTTGGCTCAACAAGACATCTGGGAAGCAGGAAGGAGAGGGAGTGCCAGGCATATTCAGTCTGCAGACAGTCTGAGACAGCCAACCGACAGGAAGCTAACAGAGAAGAAACAGTATGGAGGAAGTTTCCTCCCCTGCACAAGCACGTGGAGGTCAAAGGCTGACACCAAGTATCTCCCTTAGTGGCTTTCTACCTCACTGTGTTTTAGACAGGGCATCTCATGGAACTGAGATCTCTATAGCTCAGCTCTGCTAGCTAGTAAGCCCAGGGACCCTCTGACTATGTCCCCCAGGATAACAGGCTCTAATCGCCATGCCCAGCTTTTATGAGGTGCTGGGGATTGGAACGATTTTCATGTTATGTGACAAGAGTTTTACTGACTGAACCATCTCCCCAGCCCATCCGTTACCATTCTCTCTCTCTCTCTCTCTCTCTCTGAAATCGTGGCCTTATTTTTGTTTGCCACCAGTATTTATTTATACACATTAAGCCTTTTATGATTTGCGTTCTTTGGACCTCCTGGCAATCCGGCATTCTTACCCATTTGTATTGGATTTCTACTTGTCTTGACAGTTTGTTCTGGGTTTTAGTGAGCTGGCTATGCTCCAAAATATCAAAGAAGAGGATCCTTAAGGTTCTGGGAAGATTTAGGTTCTGCCCAGGGACAGGTGGCAGTGACCACCAGGGCACCACCACCTTCTGCTCCATTTTCTCAGAGCTTTGGGGAAATGAGTTACAAGCCCGTGTGTGGAGAGCAGGTTCCCTAGTGAAGTAAAGCAGGTCCCGTGAGATGACTTCACTGACACTCATCTTTCAGTCAGTGACATTACCTGGACAGCCAGCCTGTCGGTCTAGGTAACTGCCACCCACCTCTGCTGCTTCAGTGCACACATCTGTCCCCCCCCAGGGGCTGGCTGTCACTGCCTTCAGCTAGACCATTTCATTCAGCTGTCCCCACATGAGGTTTTCTTAGGGGCTGATCAGTCCTTGATGTCCTCCACTGGCTTTGTTTTCTCCATTGTGTTTCTAAGTCTATTCAGCAAAGCAGACATCACCAGCCTTCCAGGCTCAAATCAATGACAAGCCAGAAGTGAGTCCTGCCTGAAAAGTAAACACCTGACCATGACCCACGGCATCCCACCTGGAAGCCTTGGGGGAGCTGAGCGTGCTGTGAAGAGGGGATGATGGCAGTCTGTGAACAGGAAGGGGCGGGAAGAGAAGAGGGGATCCGCACTCCAGTGTCCACAGCACGACTCTGCCTCTTCAGAAGGACCGTCGATGCCATTCCCCTGAACCGACACCTAATCCTCACGCTTTCCCATCAAAATGTGTGATGGCTCAGCAGGTAAAGGAGCCTGCTGCCAAGCTTGAACCCCAGGACCCACTTTGTGGGAGAACTGTGTCCCCCAATTTGTTCTCTGATCTCCATATATGTACTATGCGTTAGCACACACACACAATGTAATTGAAAATTTTCCTATGTGCTTTGCATTCCACAGAGTACAAATGCTCTGCTGTAAATTAAACAGCATATCTAGTAACAACATTTAGGTCAGGTGTCCTAGCTTTGGATTGAATACTCTGTAGTTTGAGTGTTGGCTGAGGGTTCAAGTGCTGAGATTTAATCCCCACTGGGAAGTCCTAGTGTCTATGGTTATTTAGAGTTGAGACCTAAGGGGAATGGTTGGAGTTATATAAGGTCATCAAGCCATGTGACTGAACACTGGTGGCTTTATAAGGAAAGGGGCAGAGGCCAGAAGACAGAGGACACACACATGCACACATACATGTACAAACAACCCCGCTATTGCCATGTGATGCACCATGCCACCCAGTGATTCTGCAAAGGCCACAGACAGATGCAGTCCCTCAGCTATAAATCTCCAGAACCATTTGTCAAAACAAAGCCTTTATAACCCATCCATTTCAGGAGTCTGGTTACAGAAATGCAAAATGCACTAAGATTGCACGACCCCAACAAGTCTTTCCCTACCAAGAGCACAGGTTCCAAACTCAAAGCACTGATGCAGCTTCGGAGACACATGTCACTCGTCAGCTTCTTTCCATGTGACTCACACAAATCCAACGTCTTGCCAGCGGTGGTAGTACAACTGTTTTGACTGAAATAGCAAAGACATACTTGAAAGATCTAAGACACATTCTATTTTTCTCTAGCATGCTGCGCTTGTCCCACACGGGCTCTACTCTGTGAAATCCTAGGGAGGTTGAGCCAACCACACCCGGGCCACACATCTTGCAACTATGACGACCGTGTATCATTTGTAAATCCTTAGGCTTGGGTTTGGCATAACTCTCGAAGTTGTGTCTGCAAAGGTCCTGTTCCAGCTTCTCCTTAGCATAAAGCCCGTCTTCCCAGTGTCACAAGGCAACAGCAGAGAAGAAGTGCTCCGGTGCCCCGGCACCCGCAGGAACTAGGCTTGGTGAACTCCCTATACTGGCGGGATTATCAGATACTGCCTGCTCAGCCATGGCCTGACACAGCTGTTCAGCATTCGTTTTCACTGCTTCTCTGTCCATGCCCATCCCCAACAATGCCCTGGTTGTTCATCACAGGTAGTTAAGAATATTGAGCCAGGGGCTGGAGAGATGGCTCAGCCGTTAAAGGCTAGACTCACAACCAAAAATACAAGAATATTGAGTCGGGTTGTCTTCTACATGGGTGGTTAAGAGCATTGATTTGGCCTGTCATCATGGCCGGTTAACAATATTGAGTTGGGCTGTCTTCCGCATGGGAGGTTAAGAACATGGAATCAGGTTATCTTCATGGGTGGTTAAGAACACTGAGTCAGGCTGTCTTCTACATGTAGCTTCTTAGGAGCTGAAGAACCCTAGATGTCCTCAGCCGCAGCATTTCTTTCTGGTGATAAATATAACTTCAATTATTCAGGCTTACAGTCTCCAAAGGAATGCAAGCTCACTAGCACGCCCTGCATAGGGAAGTACCTGGTACCCAGCGCCGTGTAGCTGCTGTTAAAAGGCCAGTGGGATGTCAAATC